AGTAGTAGTAGTAGTAGTAGTAGTAGTAGTAGTAGTAGTAGTAGTAGCGGTAGTAGTAGTAGTAGTGGTAGTAGTAGTAGTAGTAGTAGTAGTAGTAGTAGTAGTAGTAGTAGTAGTAGTAGTAGTAGTAGTAGTAGTAGTAGTAGTAGTAGTAGTAGTAGCGGTAGTAGTAGTAGTAGTAGTAGTAGTAGTAGTAGTAGTAGTAGTAGTAGTAGTAGTAGTAGTAGTAGTAGTAGTAGTAGTAGTAGTAGTAGTAGTAGTAGTAGTAGTAGTAGTAGTAGTAGTAGTAGTAGTAGTAGTAGTAGTAGTAGTAGTAGTAGTAGTAGTAGTAGTAGTAGTAGTAGTAGTAGTAGTAGTAGTAGTAGTAGTAGTAGTAGTAGTAGTAGTAGTAGTAGTAGTAGTAGTAGTAGTAGTAGTAGTAGTAGTAGCGTATTAGAGTTCCACGACCCGTTTCACGTGAAGTGGCGTCGTAAAACTCGTCGTGAAAAACGCGATTTCATTGAATGAAATTCATTCGCGGTGATATGCAGCATTCGTGAAATACGTTTTTCACTAGTGATTTTCAAAATAAGGGTATTGAAACTCCAATATAGAAACGCAGTATCGAGGATGAGAATTTGTATATTGTGAGAGTGTAGTATGCACTCAGTAACAGGTGAATAGCTTTGTAATATTATTTGCACTTTCCTCAGCTGAGCTCAAGAGGAGTTTCCAAAGCTGATTATAGTAATCACGTAAGTGTACGTTAGGATCTGATGAAGTCCACTAAACGGGAGAATGCTGATGATGATGATGATGATGATGATGATGATGATGATCAGTGTGGGAATATATGCACATGGTCAGCTACATGTGTTGCTAGGAATATGGAAATTTTGAGAAATTACCGTTCATTTTTGTACACTTCTACCCAAAGTCGCGTGAATTTTTCATAGTATAGTGAGAAAATTTACAAGCTCAGTTGAGGAAACCAAACATATATTCCCCCACTGATGATGATGATGCGCTTGCGTGCTTATCACTTAGCGCTCGCCCGAGAATTGGTTGCGATAGGCAGAAAATTCTATAATACTATCGGAGTTGTTGTTGTTATGATCATTTTGTTCGTTGGAGTTTCACCATCCTAGTGATATGAAAAATATATTTCACGACTACTACTGCATATCACCGCGAATAAAATCGCATTCTTTTTCACTGAGTTTTACGACGCCACTTCCCACGTAAAACGGGTAGTAGTCGTGAAACTCCAAAATATGTCCATACAATCACTAACCGTTATCACCGACGATAGGGCAGATGGGAATGGTTTGAGAATTTGCTATGAAAAGCAAGGGGGAACTCAGGGGATGCGCTGCGGACAAGGAAATTTATTTTTTTTGAAATTTTTACATTTTTCGATCAACGCTTTTATGCAAATGTCGTCGAATTAGCAACATTTTTCTCGGGGGGGAACGTTACTTCGCAAAGGTAGATGATTTTGTGAAATTCTTACAAATTTCTGTACACTTCTACCCAAAATTCTATAATTAGCTCTTTGTAGACTCCTGAGCTCAACTGAGGAAGCGAACATATATTCCTCCAAAGTTGCTGTTTTCTATCGTTATTCGAACGTGAGCAGGTTTAGAAGTATTCCATGTGTTGCGTCCTCTACACCTTTTCCCGTGCAGGTTTGACAAGTGA